GCCGCGCCGGCGCTTGGCTGGGTCCGGGAAGGGGCTGCCGAGCACTTCCGCTCCGTCCTGCGCGGCGCCGCCTCCCGGGCCTCCAAGATGGCCACCGGGGCGGGGCCAAGAGGCTCCAACAATTTCCGCTTCCGGTGCGGCGCCCAGGCCGTTGGCGAGGCGGTAGAGGCGGCGGAAGGGACGTACGCGGCGGAAATTCGCTGTGATGCGCAAGCGCAATCGCGTCCTCTGGCTCCGGGTCCGGACAGCTCCACTCCAGAGATTGTTATCGCCCAGAGACTGAGCTCGAGGCCACGCCCCTCGAGACCAATGAGCCAGTGGAGGAGGACTATGTGGTTGCTAAGGGAAACCTTCAAGCGGCAAGATGGCGTCCTCCAGTGAGGGACGCCCCAGCTACCACCCGCCGCGCAGGGACCAACCCGGGCGGCCTCCGCGGGACGGTAACGGCCGACTGCGCCCTACTGGGACTCCGTCGAAATGGGAGGGAGGCAGGCAGTGTACGGACGCTCGCTGCGCTCTCCCGCTTCACTTTGGGAAGTCCGAATCCAGGAGCCGGCGCCAGAACCCGCGGCCCCCAAGCCCAGCAGGGCTCCCCAAGCGCGTCTCCCCAAGCGCAGCTGGCCCTCCGCGGGAGCCCTCGTCTCCCCCGACCCTGGGAGGGACGCGTCTTCGCGTGTCCCAGTGCCCGCGGGGTGGGCGGACCCAGACTAGCAGAACCGGCCTGAGCCTCGGGACCGAGCCCGGAGGAACCCAAGGCGGCCTTGGGTGTCAGAAGGTTTGATAGGAGCTGTTCACAGAATCAAAGAAATAGGGCCAGAGTGATCCCAGTCCACCATTATCATCAGGTAGAACCCGGCCCTCGCTTACGGCAGACACTGGAGTCCAGAATCCGGCAACCCCATGCTTCCCCAGAGCCGCTCCCTCCAAGTTGGCCTTGAAACAGGGAGGCTGGTGGGGAGAGGGGTCCTGTCCATTACAGGAACTGTGGGAGTTGGGGGGCGGTGTGCCCAGCAGCTGAGTGGCAAGAAACGAAACTAAGAAGGCCTTCCTTGGGTACAAGTGGGGATTTTGTCCAGAGGGCCCTGGGTGGGGAGGGGGCGTGGGGAGATCCTGCAGAGAAATGGTGGGCCGTCCCCTCCCCTCTGTGCCCTCACCTTCACCCAGCTAATTCCGCTCGGCTCAAATGTCCCCTCTCCAAGAAGGCTCCCCTCCCTCCCACACCCCCTCCACCCTCCTGCCTACCCGCCCTGCCACCTCTCCAGGACCCTGCTCTCACTTGTCCTAGCCCACCCCTCCCCTGCCTCTCTGTACCGAGTAGCTCAGCATGTTTGCAGCACAAACAAACTGTGAATGGATGGACAGTAAACAGGAGCATCGTGACCCCTTTGGGAAGCAGTGGGGGGGGCGGTGGTCGTTCCCCGGAGGTGGGGCCACAGACGCCTGGAAAAGCCCCAAGACCACCCCACCTCAGTGTTTGCCGGTCATCAGCCAGGTCACCTGTGTCATGTGCTTACCTGTGTGTCTCCTTTCGCTATTCAGGTTACGGAGTCTACGTGTACCCAAATTCTTTCTTTCGATATGAAGGAGAGTGGAAAGGAGGAAAGAAACACGGTGAGGACCGTCTGTGGCCTCTTCCTGCAGCCTCACCGCTGACAGCCCGTTTCCCACTGGAGCTGGGGGCGGGTGGGCCACACTGGGCCCTCAGCTGTCACTAGTGCCAGAGAAGGGCCACCTCCTGCAGCCTTGGAGAGCCGGACTAGCCGCCCTGGTGCTCAGCTGGGAGACCCCCCAGTATGCTGCTTTCTCACAGGCTCGGGGGCCCCCTCAGCCGGGGAAGCTGCAACCCAGAGATTCTCCCTGGAGTGTTGGTTTGTTTTTGCCTTTCTGGTTTTGCTCTTCTTTCCCCTGATGATAGAGACCACCTCCTTTTGGAGAAAATCTAAGCAGCAGAGGAGAGAAAGGAGCGAGTGAAAGTCCCCGGGCGCCGCCCCCGAGGCAGGCCTGGCGCCCGGGGCTTCTGCTCGCAGGCTTATGTCTGCCTCAGGCTCTGCTCTGAGCGCCCTCCGCCCGGTTTTCTGCTGGAGGGTTGATCTTTCAGTATTTTCCTGTGAGCTATTTTCATATCCATTGATTGCCAGTGTCTGCTATTTTTTGAGCCTTTTGAATTTTATTGTAGTGTTTTTCACTTCTGTTCTGAAAGCGGGAAGGCTCGTGTCTGAGCCTTGGATCCTGGCCTGGGCAGAGTGGTCCCCCTCTTTAAAATGCACTCTGCTGTGTCACCCACACCCACAGGCTCGCGCTCCTTCTGCCCCTGTGCTGACGGAGGTGGGGCGGCCCTCTGAGGAGGCCTCGGGGGCAGGGTCTCTGTGCTTTTGATGGCTGGGACAGGACGCTCAGTCACGCTCCTCGGCTGTCCTCAGCAGGACCTTCCAGCCTGCTCTTCCCTCTGAGAACCCGGCCCTGCCGCGTGCGGGCCCCAGCAGTCACTCCCCACCACCATGTGACGTCATGATCCCTCTCGCCAGGTTGGGGGAAGCTGCTCTTCCGAGACGGCAGTTACTACGAAGGCGAGTTTGTGGACGGAGAGATCACAGGGGAGGGCCGCCGGCACTGGGCCTTGACAGGTTAGCTCCACGACTCCGTCCTCCTAAACAGTCCCCAGTGTAGGTTGGTACCTCCCGTCTAGATGCCGAAGGCCTTCCATCTCTTGGTTTCCCTAAGTTGTCTCGTAATGGCCTCGTGCCAGCTGGGGCCTGGGTGGCTGTGGTGCCGCCCTCAGCTTGGCCAGGTTCCTGTCTGCAGAACCCCAGACCCTCTCGGGCAGTACGGTCAGTCCTCAGTGGAGAGAAGGCTCACCCACAGACTCAGACCTGGGGGCTTAGCCCTGGGCACACAGATGCCCCAGAGAGGGTTGCCTGCGGTGGAGTCTGCACTTACATGGTGCCCAGGATGGGGGACCAGACCCACCAGTCATGTTTTCCCTTGTCAACCAGGAGGGTAGTGAGATAAAGAACACCCTGTCGTCCTTGCACACTGGCTGGGAGGAGCGGGAACTGGCTCTAACCTCCTCGCCCACACCAGGGAACACCTACACTGGACAGTTTGTTTTGGGCGAGCCTCAAGGACATGGCATCATGCTGTACAAAGCCGGCGGGTATTACGAAGGGGAGCTGTCCGGCGGCGCGAGAGAAGGTCTGGGCCACGGGAGGGTGCTGGGTGTCGGCCGCGGGGCAGGTGCGCTGAGGGCCTGGACGCTAGCCCTCCCGGGATTCTGATTCGGGGCCTGAGTGGGGTCAGGGGAGTACAGCCCCTCTGTGCAGGTCTGTGCCTGGGGCACGGTCATCGCCCACTGTGGCCTCACGAGCCTCCCAAACCCGGGGACTCAGGTCTCCATTTTATCATGCTGGGTCCTGGGGATAAGCGTCTGGCCGGGTGGGTCTTCTGGCCTCGCACTGGGTGGTGGCAACTCGGCCAGGCCTGTGGGTCCCCAGGGTCCTCACTTGCAGTCAGGAGGCCACGTCTGGGGGTGGGCAGACTCTGCCTGAGGGGAGCAGAGCAGACCCTGGGGCAGGTGCAGCTGCCTCTGTCTTTCCACGGCCTCTCAGGTAAGAAGTAGGAATCTCCTCCACTTCCTGGGTGTGCAGACCCTGAAAATGCCAACTGAACACAGCCGCGGCCCCATGAGCGCGGCCTCATGAGCGCGGCCTCTGGCCTTTCGGTCCTTGGAGCAGCTCGTTCAAGGCCCAGCACCATGTGCTCCCAGCGTGATCTGCCAACAGGTCTTCCCGCACAGCAGCCCCGCCCCAGCCGGACGGCAGAGCCCTCAGTCTCAGCAGCTGGGGATGCGGGGCCCTTCAACCTCCACTTGGGGCCTCCGAGAGGTGGACCTGGAGCCGCTCCTACCGCGAGGTGGTGTGGCCCGGCTCTGTGGGTGACCCCAGCCTCTTCCAGACTCGCCCCTCCCCGCTGGACACGCGGTGACCCTTCGCCCCTTCCAGGGCAGGGGCGTCTGGTGGACGCGGATGGACAGGTGTACTGCGGGTCGTTTCATGACAACAGGCGGCACGGCCGAGGGTGGATGATCTTCCGGTGAGTTGGCTGCCCAGGTCTGCCTCCCCTTCGAATGCTCAGCTGTGAAAGTCTGTGTCTTTTGATCTGATTCTGTAGTTTCTCCCTTAGTTACTAAAATTAGTTATGTGTGTATTTTGTAAAAAAAAAATTGAACCCCACCTACCCACCCAGTAAAACACCTGGAGGGGCAGGTGGGCGGGCAGGCTCAGCTGGGCGGCTCCCACACGCTCTGCTTTTGGGCCTGCTGCTGGGCGTCATTTAAATCCAGGCAGTTTTCCTGCAAATGCTGCCCTTGGGATCTGCAGGTTCCCCCCACCCCGCCCTGCCCAGGCCGTCCTCGTTATCCTGCAGACCTTCACACCTGGCGCCCGGCGAGGGGGGCTGCAGCCGCTGCAGGACCAGGCCTCCTGCCACCACACCCGCCGGGCACCGAGGCAGCCTGCCCCTCCGGCCGGGCCCTGGCAAGGCCAGAGCTCACACCATCTGTTCCGGGCCTATTTTTGCCTCGGTCCCGGTGGCGCGTGCTGAGCGACCCCGGTCGGGGGGAGCCGTCTGCGTCAGCGCCACCACCTGGCCCTCCCCGGCCCGAGCGCAGTCTCCGTCTGTGTGTCCCTCAGGAATGGTGACGAGTATGACGGCGACTGGGTCCAGGACCGGCGCCAGGGCCGCGGGGTTCTGAGCTGCGCCGACGGCTCCATCTATGAGGTAACTGATCCGGGCCCTGGGGCACAGCTCAGGCTGCTCTTCGTGGCCAGCGAGGCAGGGATGCAGACTGTCCCCACTTTACTGATGAGAAGACTGAGGTTCCTGGAGCTCCAGGGCCTCCAGCTGACACTTCGTCCAGCCTGGTTCCCGGGACTCCCTGCCACCTGCCACTCCTCATGGGAACAGCCTGGTGGTGCATGTTTGAGGGAAATGAGCTCGGGCCCAGGTGCCCCCAGACAACCTGGGGGAGCCCCCCCGCCCCCCATCACCATGGCAGCTGCTGCTCTTGGGTCAATGGAGTGTTAGGTGAGACGAGGCAAAGGGATGCAGGCTGTGGGGAGACCCCCTCGGGCCCCAGAGTCAACACCCTCTCCTTCCTGGACACCAGCCCATGTGCCAGCCAGGAGCCAATGGGCGGGAGCTGAGGTGCGTGTCCCATCAGCACTCGCTCCTGTGCCCAGCTGGTGGGGACAGCACACCAGCCCGGCATGATGAGACCATGTGGAGACTGCGTGGAAGGGTGAGGCTGGGCTCCGAGGAGGCTGGAGCAGAGCCGGGGAAGACTAGGTGGGAGGCCCGGGTGATCCCACACATAGCGCTGGAGCCACGAGGGGTTGGAGTTTGATTCTGACCATCATGGAAAATGCGGAAGGAATTGGTGCCCTGATCCCTGTGTTTGGAAGGTCCCTCTGGTTCTTGTTCATTGAGAGAGGTGATGGCAGCCCTCGTGGGGTGTAGATCCAAATTGGGCTGGTTTGGAGGTAGAGGTGCCGGACTGGTTGGAGGACTGGAGGCCAAGGCGGGGGCAGCAGCAGCAGAGAGGATGCTCCTGCATCACGGGCCTGGGTGTCAGACGGACAGTGGTGCCTGGACCAGAGTCCACCTAGGCAACAGAAATGACACCAGCAACTGGACGTGAAAATGTCAGCCAGTGAAAGGCGGCAAACTGCTGAGAGGGGTAAAGGCAGAATATGGAAAAGCAAGCGTGCAAGTGGACCCAGGAGACCCAAGGATGGGCTGTGGGGACCGGCTTGCCAGGGCCCTCAGGCCTGACTGCTGGGCTGAGCGCTAAGGGAGAGGTGACTCGTGGCACATGGCGGCTTCCCGAGTGACTGAGCTGCCGCCGGGCTCGGCTGTGACGTGCCAGCTGCATCTGGGCCTCAGGAGCCAAGAGCTGCATGCGCTGGGCACCTGGGACGCTCACGGGAAGGCGACGGTGACGAGGTCCGGTCTGAAGGCTCAACTCCAGCACAGCCCTGAAAGAATCCCTCGTTTCTCAAAGCCTCAGGGCTGAAACGGAATTTGGTTGTGTGGGTTGCAGAATTACGAAGTCAGCTGAATTGACGTCTTTGCCAAGTTTCTCGTGTGAAACAGTGAAGATTGGAACAGAACAGCCTGTGGGAGCAGGGAGAGCCCAGCCCCTCCAGAGACTCAGCTCCCGACAGACAGAGGAGACCCCGTGCACAGAGAATCCCACCGGGGACGCACCCTGTGCCTTGGGAGTGGACACCGGAGCCCAAGGGAAGTCCCTTCCCTGCAGGGTCCATGCAGCACCGGCTGTTGACAGCCCCACTCGGCAGCAGCCAGCACAGCAGAACATCTCAGGGTCCAACTCCTGTAGCGCAGAGTCAGGCGAGGAAGGGTGGACTTGGGGCGGAGGGGCGGTAAACTGGTGCCCGGCGGGGCCCTGTGAGGCAACGTGGCCTGTCAGGGAGCATGCATTCTTGCTCTGGTGGCCCGGGCTCCCCCAGCGGGCTCCCCTCACCAGCTCAGAGGACAGAGCTCTGCTTAGGTGACCCCACCTCCCAGGCCCACTCCTGGGACCACAGCCCCAGTCCGGGCAGCTGGCCGCTGGCCTCCTCCTTAGGGGGCTCCCAGGATGCCGCGTCCCCTTTGCTGCCACCTGCCTGGGCTGCTGCGGTCCAACCTCACGGGACCAGGCCCCCGGGCTCACCCTGGGTTGCCACAGCTGTTGGTCTGAATTCTCCAGAGCTGCCGAGGAGAGGACCTCAGGGATCCCGGCGTGCCGAGTTCCCCACAGCGCCCAGACCTCGCGGGGCCGGGTGGATGCGTTACCTGTGTCTGGTACCCAGAGCTCAGTCATACACCGTCCCCGATGCTGGGCACCGCCTTCCGCTCTTCTGACTCACTGACCCTCCTGAATCCCCCAGGAGGTGCCTGTTCCCATTTCACAGCCGAGGAGGCTCCCCCTCGTCCCAGTGTGACTACCAGACCGGCGTGGCCGATCTTCCAGAGAATCCCGAAAAGCTTCACCCTCCCGCTGCATCGCGAGCTCTGACCCCAGAGGATGTTCTGGACACCTCCAGGGCCTCGCCGTGGGGCTGCAGCGCCCTCGTCAGCGGTCTGGGCACGGTGGGGCCTCCCCCGCAGA